GGGCCGCCCTGCATAGTAGGAGTCCACACCCCAGCGAGCGAAACCCTGGTGCATTTAGAGCATGGCTGTTCCCTCGTGGGCGCATCCGTCCACATCCTCCAAGAGGTGGACTGATGCCCCCACTCCCAGTTTTTGCAGGGAATCCCGCAGCCTGGGCCGGGGAAGTGTCACCTGCTTATTTTCCTCTGTCAGAATACCAAACCAAAACTCAGGGCCACGGAGTCCATCCCGACACATGGAGACCCCGTAGGGGAGGCCAGCGCTGTGTCTGGGCATGTCTGAGACTAGCTCTTGTCGGGAGGAGAAAGCTGCGTCTGTCTCCTGCGGAGCAGCTGGAAGTTTCCAACTGCTGACCCTGCGGTTAGCCGCTCAACACAAGACGCCGCCGACGCCAGGGCTCCGATGGCACAGCTGAGTTTATTAGATGCAGTGGACGGAGCAGAGCGATCGCAGGACAGGCAGCAGAATGGTCAGAGGCTACACGGGGCAGAAAGGCAAAACAATTCTTAGGGGTCATAGCCCTCCAGTGACTATTGCCATAATAACCCCAACCCCAGGCCACACTGAGTCTGTCAGTCCTGCCTCGTACAAACGCCTGTCAGGTTGCAGAGTCTGACGACCTTTATGGAAACAGCCAGCTTCCCCTTCCTCTCACAATCATTGCACAGCAACCCAAACAACACCAAGCCTCCCTGCCCCAAGTGGTTGCGTGCACGGCAGCCCTCCAGGACAGCGCAGAACGACCCTGCGGGCGTGCGAGACGGTGACTCTTCCCAGGAGTCGAAGTTACTCCCTCCCACCCCCGAGGGTCAGCTGGTGGATTTGAACTGCTGACTCTGCACTTATCAGTTCGATGTGCAGCCCACGATGCCACTGACCACCAGGCAGTGGACCGGAACTGCCTGGAGGACAATAATTGCCCAACCCCTGACCCAGTGCATTCCCTCCTTTTATATTGATGGACATCCAAGTCCAGCGGGGTCAGGTGACCTTTTCAGTGTCATGCAGCTAGCTGGGGGAAAGACAGAGACAAAAGCTCCGGCCTGGTGCTCCTTGCTCACTGCCAGACAGAGGCAGCCAGAAAGAACCAGAGCTGGGTTTGGGTCTGGGGCAGCGGTTCCCAACCTGGGGGTCAAACAGCCCTTTCACAGGGGTCGCCTAAGACCATCGGAAAACACATATTTCCGATGGTCTTAGGAACGGAGATGTTGACTTTTTACGCATATTGTCCCAAAATGTAGCAATGTAGTTTACTGTTATATTCAGACTGTTACCCATGCCACACCAGGCTTCAAGACAAAATTTCATATATTTGTAATTAGAAATGAATATTTCACAATATGTAATTACTATATATTTGTGATTAATCACTATGCTTTAATTATGTTCAATTTGTAACAATGAAAATACATTTACATTACGATTCATAACAGTAGCAAAATTATAGTTATGAAACAGCAAGGAAATAATTTTGTGGTTGGGGGTCACCACCACATGAGGGACTGGATTAAAGGGTCGCAGCATGAGGAAGGTTGAGAACCACTGGTCTAGAGCCAGAATGAGAGTCCTTATCTCCTTCCGCATTGTGTGGACGGCACAGGGTCACCATGGCACCCAACAACAGTCCGGCCGGCCGGTCCGTAGGCTAAACATGGTTTCTCTGTTTTGAAGAAAGCTTTGTGTGAACCCTTGCCCTCCTAAGAGAAGGTGTAGATATGACGCTGTCAGCTCTGGTTCCCTGGTTGCAGGTCAAGAGTGAGAGCCTCCGGGAAACGCAGCAGAGCCTGCTGCAGGAGAAGCTGCGGGAGCACCTGGCGGAAAAGGAGCAGCTGTGCCAGGAAAGGCTGGAGCAGGAGGAGAAGCTGAAAGCCAGGATCCAGCGGCTGACGGCAGAGAAGGCGGTAAGGTGTCCCAGCCCCGCGATTTCCTCCTGGACCCTGTGAAATGCTCTTTTTCTATGAGAAAGCAGGGTCGTCGTCCTTAGGGGGAGAAATCCCAGCACTTCCCTGTTTGGCACCACGGGACTAAATTAATTTACACAGCCTGGGCTGTTTTTCAGGAATTAAGTTGGAGCTGGGATTCTGAAATTAAGGCAGAATCCAACGTGGAAAGGCCAGAGTAGTGAAATTTCTAAAGCGGCGCACAGGATTCAGCGCTCAACAGCTAGCCAAAAGGGCTGGCGATCCAACCCCATCTTGGCAGACAGGCCTGAGGACAGCCTCTACAGGTCGCAGCCCTGCAAACCCAGTGGAGCAGTTCCGTCCTGCGCTGGTGGGCTCGCCAGGAGTCAGAGTCCACGCGGCAGTTTGAACTGCCAACCTTGCAGTTAACAGTGCAATGTCTGACCCACAGTGCCACCAAGCCAAAAAGCCAAACCCATAGCCAGGGTCCCTTCTGATACATCGCCACCCTCCTCGGGGGGTTGTCACTCTGTCCGTGAGCGGACAGCCTCCACAGCTGCTGAGCCTGAACTGCCAGCCTCCTTGTATACACAGCAGGGAACGCAAGTGGCCAGAATTGTTGCTTGCCTTTCTCGAAACCCAAGAAGGCCTGCTGGAACTCTCAGATTGTAGCTGAACTGCTACCCTCGAGGTTGCTGGTTCAAGCCACCTCTGGGGAGAAAGATGAGATTACCATATATACTTGTGCATAAGCCGAGTTTTTCAGCACGTTTTTAATGCAGTTTTTGTGGTAAAATTAGGTGCGTCGGCTTATACTCAAGTGTATACGGTACCTGCTCCCATAAAGATTTTCAGCGTCAGGAACCCTACGGAGGGTCACTATGCATCGCAATCAACTTTATGGCAGGTGTTTGGTTTATTCGTTTCCTTCGGAAACCAAACCAATTAAAGATGATCACAGCAGCGCATCTCAAGCTTGAAACCCCCAAACCTATCCCTCCCAACTCAGATTGGCCCTATATAGGGTTTCCAAGGCGATACATTTTTATTTTTAATCATTTTACTGAGGGCTCTTATAACCTCCCGTACAACACTTATATCGAGCATATTTGTACATCTATTGCCATCATCCTTTTCTAAACATTTACTTTCTATTTGAGTCCTTGGTATCAGCTCTTCTTCCCGCCCACCCCCCACCTTGTGAACCCTTAATAAATTGTAAATTATTATAGTTTTCATATCTTACACCAGCCGCTGTCTCCCTTCACCCATGTTTCTGTTGTTTATTCCCCTGGGGGGCGGGGGGGATTATACATCGATCTTGTGATTGTTTCCCCCTTGCCCCAACTTCCCCCTACCCTCCTGGAATTGCTGCTCCCATTTCTGTTCCTGAGGGGTTTATCTGACCTGCTTTCCGTGTGTCATGAGAGCTCTTATCTGTACATGCTCAGGTCTAGCCAGAACTGGAAGGCAGGACTGGGGTCATGATAGTGGGGGGTGAGGAAGTCTCAAAGAACCAGAGGAATATTGTGTTTCATCAGTGCTATACTGCGCCCTGGTTGACTCATCCCTTCCTTGTGACCCTTCTGTGAGGAGATGCCCTATTGAAGGCTGTAAAGCTTTACCAGAGCAGAGAACCTTGTCCTTCTCCTCTGGAGCCACTGGTGGGTTTGAACTACCAACGTGCTGGTTAGCCCAGTGCATATCCCATAGTTCCACCAGAGCTCCTTTCTGAAACATCAAGCTGACTTATGAATCAACTGGCATGCCTGTGAACATGCACCGATTTTGACTCGGTGACTCTGGAGCGGAGTCTGAGATTCTGCATTTCAAACAAGCACCTCGTTGGTACGGATGGAATTGTCTCTGTGCTATTCTGAGTAAAGAAACAAATCCACAGAAACTCATGTATAAGAGAGAGTTTATATAAAGGTTAAGTGTGCATCAAGAAAACATCCCAACCCAGTGCTGCCCAAGCCCACAAGTCCAACATCAACCCATTAACCCATATGTCCAACACCAATCCACAAAGTCCTCCTCCATCTCACAAAACAGATGCAATGAAGCCGACCTCAGGAGGAAAGCCAGGTCAATGAATGTGTAAGCATCTCAGCGCTGGCAGGGGTCTCCACGTGGGTGCTCCAGCACCCAGGGCTGCATCAGGGTAGGTCCATGTGGCTTCTCTTCAGGGATGTCTTACAGGAGTGAGCCTTGCCAGCTAAAGCAGGGAACTGGCTAAGGCAGCTGAACCCTGGTCCAACCATCACAAAGCAAGAGACCCAAGAACTAGAAAGGTGAGGCTCACCCAGCCATTTATCCCTCTGCCCTTCAATTAACCCCACATGTGTTTATCGGCCACGTTGGCACAATAAACTAACTACCTCAATCCACCCCTTGACAACTTGGCATGTGTACATAATTCTTTAGCTTCACAATTGCAATTAAGTAACACCTACACCTTAATCCTATAATCCTGTGAATATGTTCCCCCACCTATGAAAGTTTGTAAGCCAACCACTTCATGCCTTTATCTCCCCACTTACATCAACCCAGTTCTCGGAGAAGACAATCATATTTTTCGACATGAGTCTTCATTCCAGTTGAAGCCTTGTGAAATCTGCATCCATAAGCAAAGTCAAATCCGGACAGGTCATCCATAAAGTCAGCAACAATATGCACCAGCTCACAGGCTCAAAAATCTCCATCTGATCGGGTTCTATTCAACTCAATGTGGGCTGCCTCACTCAGCCCCTTCAGGGAGCCCATTGGTCGCCTTGCCCTTAAACCAGGGGCTTTCACCAATACTCAGCAAGCCTAGCCCCCTCGTGCTAGGTCATGAACTTCAGACCAGTCAACCTGCTCTTATCTTCTCCTTTTTTTCCTGTAAAAGACATTCACAGGTGTCAGTGGCCAAACTCAACCCATCTCTTTATTGCTGCATTTCTCCCACTTCCACTCAACAAGTAGATCCAGGTGGTCACCTAGCAAGCATTTCAGCCTGCTCACAGGCGCCCTTTAACATTCAGTCCCAGAGAGGAGTTTTCTTCCTGGTTCCAGACTTTTTCCAGCTTCTGACAAAGAACATTGGTTCCTGAGTACTCCAAAGCACTGGGTGAGGTATATATTTTCAAAGCTTTCTTTGCAGGCATGGCCTAAACCCATCTAAAGACCAAATTTTAATGGCTGAAAGCAAGTGGGCTCACAAGCTTTCTATTTTCATATTTCCCTTATTCCCCACCCCCAAACAACCAAGTAAACAGTGTGGCCTTATCTGACCTCTGGCTAGACAAAGAAGAAAAACTATCATGAGGGAGAGGTCAAATAAGCATCTACTCTCCACTTTATGATTTGTTTCTCCAGTACCCTACTCCCAAGGTACCATATTTTCAATGATGAGGTTATCAGTTCCAATTCCTGGCAACCTTCTGTGTTATAAAAGGAACATAACCCAGTCGTAGAGGGAGGGTTTCCCAAAGGTGCCGGAGAAGAACCACCTGGACGCTTTGTGAAAACTATAGCGCCGGGGAGGGGACAAGCCATTCAGGGTGCAGTGTAGCAATAGTGAAATTACAACTTTCCTCTAATTCCTAAATGCCTCTTCCACTACCCCCCACCCCCCACTCTCATGACCCAAATTCTACCTTACAAATCTGGCTAGACCAGAGGATGTACACTGGTACAGATAGGAGCTGGAAACACAGGGGATCCAGGAGAGGTGAACCTCTCAGGAGCAATGGTGAGAGTGGCGATACCAGAGGGTAGAGGAAAGGTGGGATGGAAACGGGGAACCGATCACAAGGATCTATATATAACCTCCTCCCTGGGGGACGGACAACAGGGAAGTGGGTGAAAGGAGACATCGGACAGTGTAAGATATGACAAAATAATAATAGTTTATAAATTATCAAGGGTTCATGAGGGAGGGGGGAACGGGGAGAGAGGGGGGAAAATTAGGAATTCAAGGGCTCGAGTAGAAAGCAAATGTTTTGAGAATGAAGAGGGCAACAAATGTACAAATGTGCTTGACATAGAATGGATATATGCATTGATTGTGATGAGAGTTGTATAAGCCCCCAATAAAATGATTTAAAAAAACAACAACTACAGAGTAATATCCCCACCCCAGACCCCTTGGACCAGAAGTTATGGCCGAGGCCAGGAATCTGTACGTAATAAGCCACTTCTCATTATCAACTCGCATTTCCTTGTTCTGTTATTCAGGGACCTGCCATGAATTGAACTTACAGTGATTGCCATCATCATAGATTGGTGGTTGATGACTTTGCACTTTTACAATGTCCACCCATACTCCCACGGCCAACAGGTCGATTCTCACTCATTGGAAGGCTGTAGAGCAAGGTAGAGCTGCCCTTTGGGGTTTCCAAAACTTGAAATCTTTACAGGAGCAGATAAACTCATCTTTCTCCTTCAGAGCGGCCAGTCGACTAGATTTGAACTGCTGACCTTATGGTGAGCAGCTCAATGTGTAAGCCCCTGTGCTGTACTGGTGCTGGCTCCTACACCCAGAGGTGTGGTCTTCCTAGCGTGAGGGTGCAGCCCGTGTATGGGGACTGGTAAAGGGTCCAGGAACACCAGCGTAAGGTTACTACTGATCACTGTTGTGGGTGCAGACGTGGAGGGCCAGTTGCATGCTGCCCCCATGAAGACAGTGGAGCCCAGCCCCTCTGGACTCCCAAGTCTTCCCCAGCCCCTCCTTTCTGCCCTGCAGAGGACTGGACCTACCACTGCCACCATGTTGACCCTGCCTTCACTGCCACAAATGCTCACAAGCCTCCGTCTCTCCTATTTCTGTCCCCTAGTTTGTCTCTCCTGAGCCCAGAAATGCTCCCTCCCCCTTTGACCACTTTCTCTCCCTTCTTCCTTCTCTGCTTCCTGCCTTTTGTCAAATAAACAATTGTGAAGGAAGAGCCACTGGACCCAGGCCAGGCATGCTCTGCATCCCAGCATTGGGACCATAGGCATCGATCGGGGTGTGAACT